TCGATATGTTACGGGATTTCTCGTCCCGTTATGTCCTGAGGATCACGCTTGAACCTCCCCCCAGTAACCACACAGCGGCCAGTATCATAAGCCGATGAACATTACCGAAAAAAGTAATGGAGATTGGAATGACCATTTCCAACCAATTAACCGGCATCAGCCAGTGATTCTTAACTCTGGGGGGTGTGGGGGGGGAGGGTGCACCACCCAAGGCTCGAATCTACGACATTTTGATCAGGAGTTTACCGCTCTAATCATTGAGCCACCGGCTTGTTATCTTGCCGGTTAAAATGGGGAATTTGGCACCCGTCGATGAACATTCACCGATTCAGCAGTTGCAGCAGCCACGACACCGATCCTATCTAGGAAACTTGCTTGGTCAAAGCCCCAGCGTACTAAGTTGTATTCTCTACTTCACTTCTTATTACTTCACTATTAGGGAAATGTGTAGCATATCTATTGCGACGACTGTCTTTTGATCATTTTGAGTTAAATGCACGGATTAACTACCATACTGAACGATGTGGCCCTTTTATATAATTTTCTAACGGCCCACAGTACCAGACGTCATAGTGTACTCCGTCCAACTGTCTCATTGCACGTCGCCATACTTTAACTCCCGTTTGATGGGAGTTGCATCGCCTGCAGTCTTAAATCTTTGGATCATGCACGCACTTTATATTAGTCTAGTCATGTTTAAACGTCTATGTTCTGTTGATTTTACGAAATGTTATCGTCCAAACACCAGTTCTAAACACTAGGCAACGTACTAGAGAGCTATTAAAATTAAACGGATAGACCTGGTTAATAGAGTGCGTTTGGCATCTCGCGCAGCTACGCGATTGGTATTTTAAAACATGTTTGGATTAGGGTAAAAGCAACCTTAATTATGTCGCTCCTCACAGTCGCACCGACAAGAACTTTATTCAGAAATTTTAACTTCCGCAGTCCATACCCGAGAAAGTAGATTTTGCCTTGTATAATTGTCTGTGGTTCAGCATTGTCGAAATGGAATTTGGAACATGCTCCTGTGGAGGCTTCCTGAACAGGCGAATTTATAAAGACAAGTACAGGGGATGACGGTGAATAAAAGCCTCTAGAACTGTAACTGATGCCAAGTGAACTTACTAGCCTCCTAGTGTGCCATTAACATAGCTTGGTCGCCTGTTCATTGAAGTCAGCAAAATTTCGAGATTGAATGTCCCGTAACCGAAGTATTCATGTTCGACTTCGGGGATCGATGTTCCCTAGGATGGCAAGGCGAGAGTGCCTCACCGTCTCATGAGATGCAAGGATTTCCTGCCATGAGAATAATTGTTATGTCAGTCATTGGGTAATTTGCATCGGTTGTAAGTCGAATTAGCTCAAAGAGACTGGTAGAGAATTACATGTTTGCATGCAGACGAAGGCCAATGCAGGAGAGCTTTGTAAAGCTGGCTTTTAGGGTTGCATATTCGCCTGGAAAATGCTGAAATGCAATACTGGATGGACAACCAAACGACGAGAGCTTTCCGCCCTGCCTTGTCCACTGTTGGCACATGGAGCAACCGTTGCGTGAACGAGATTGCTGCTTACTAGGCTGTCCAGGTACTTACCCCCTAATCAATCGAAACGCGCTTATCAGCACGGTCGGAGCGCAAGCGCGGGGGA